ATGACACTCAGTTTGAGAGATTCAACAGCAGAGCAGAGCCTCCAAGGATGGAGCACTGTGCACCATGGTTGGATAAGCAGAAGCCAGAATACTGGGAGTGGAGGACACTGAATGCCCTTGGAGAGGAAGAAAGGGTTAAAAATTGCTGAAGAGAACACCCCACAATGACAACTATGAAACTGGTGAGTTAGCCCAAATCTGAAATCCCAAATCTCATACTCCCAATGGGGAGGCCCCAGTGTGTCGGGTTTGAGGTTTACCCCAGTGATATGTGACCCATGGAGACTAGACTGAGGAGAGTTGTGGGACACTGACCTGGTTTTCTGTGCAGTTTAAGTCCAATTCTAGCCATTAGAAAGGCCACATGGGAGGGGGCAAGCCACTGGAGGGCCTCAGCAAGGGACGTGGCCTGTGGCTGAGAGTGAGGGCTTGGCCAGGATATCACACAATCCAGAATGCGTATGGCTGTGATTTGCTCTCTGGAGAGTCCCATAATGCAAAATATGAATTAACCTTCAATGCCATGATTACATCACCATAAACGAAGACCTCAGCTCTTGGAACATGGTGGGCAAGGCAGGTGAGAAGCTCAGACTTGAGTGGGAGGAGTCAATTTTGCAAACTTTATGAAAACTTATATGGAGGGTCAATGTGTGGACTCATTCCTCACACAGCTTGACTATGGGAAGCAGATTTTGGTGAGAACAAACATTGCCCCATCTGCTTTGAACCTGGAGCCCCTGTCCCATGAGGATTTCTTCTTAGCAGGGAGCAGCTGGAACACTCACTCCTTCTTGCATCAACAAGGGAAAGAGTGTCGTCGGTTTCCTGATTCAACAAAAGAGAGGGACTCCCCAGAGGGCTGAGGCTTCTCTCAGGGCAGTTCTGTCTGCCAGTAAAGCAGCAGTTCCCTTCATATCTACGTTGTGAACCATGGCCCTCTCAAGCCTGTTCACTGTCCATAAATTTTGGAGGTCTGTCCCCAATGTATTTGAGTCTCAGTCCCCATCCAGTCAGAACCAGAATTCCATATTCCTAGAGGGAGATCCAGTGTCTCCTGCTCTGTGCTGGCTGATGCTTGTCCTGAAACTTTCAAAGGAATAGATTACCTGGTCCATATCCTGAAACTAGCCTGATGGGTGGAGTCTGCATCTCTCTATCCAGCCAACTTTCCCTTCTATTCAAAACAAGGCTAAATGAGCAGTTGATGGGGGATGCCCATCTCTATATATTTTTTCTTATAGGTTGATGAATAAAACATTGCTTTGCCAATAGCCAGGCAGGAAGGTTAAGTGGGGCTACCCGACCAGGGGAAGGAGGGAGACAGATGGAAGCCGGGACAGGGACTCCATATAGAGACCCAGAAGATAGGATGCACAAGGCATTCATTGTTAAGATAAGACCATGTAGAGATACATAGATTAGTAGTTATGGGATAATAATCAAGAGAGAGCTAGCACCTAAGAAGCCCTATCCATTGGCCAGCAGCTTATAAATTAATATAAATTTTTGTATGTTTATTTGGGGCTAATCGGATGTGGGAACAGGCTGGAAAGAATCTCCAGCTACAAACCCTGATGGATCCCAGGAGGAATGCAAAAGGACTGAATTCTCCAGTTTGTTATCCTCAGATATCCCACAAATATATGTGACACATAAGATTAGAGCTGATGGGAAAATCACCCTGAGGTGCTTGTCCCTGAACTTCTACCCTGTTGAGATCACCCTGACCTAGCTTACAGATGGGAAAAATCAGACGCAGGACATGGAGGTGACAGACACCAGGTCTGCAGGAGATGGGACCTTCCAGCTGGGGGCAGCTGTGGTGGTGCCTCCTGGGGAGAAGCAGAGATACACATGCCATGTGGATCTTGAAGGACTCCTGAGCCCCTCACCCTGAGATGGGGTAAGGACTGGGAGTGAGCACAGAGAAATCACAGAGAGGATGGGAGTCCTTGGGAGAACTGTTGCAGGGCCATGATTGACAGCTGGATGTCAGAGGCCTCACTGTTCCTTCCATTCTTCTGTCAGAGCCTCTTTAGCCCTCTGTCCCCATCATGCCAGTTGTTACTGGCCTGGTTCTTGGAGCTGTGCTTATGGGAGCTATGGTGACTTTTCTGATATGGAAGAGGAGGAATAAAGATAAGAAAGGGGCAGGATCTGAGTTTGTGTTCCCATGGGAATATCAAGCCCAGCTGAGTGGTGCCCTGCCTCATGAGAGCAAAGCTTCATCCACATAGTGGCTTATTCTCTCTTGTGCTGATGAGCTGACATTAACTCCATCGTGAAGCATAAAGGAAACAATGAACAGATTCATCACTGCAATGATAGAGGCGACAGAGACCTGATCCTCAGCTCTCAGAGGTCAGATGGAAAGGTTCCTATTTAGAACAGATAACCAGGAGTCCAGTTAGTCCTCTTCATGTATAATCTTCCATCATGTTTCCTCATCTTTCTCTGGATCTGCAGTCACAGTTCTGGAAACTTTCCTGAGATAAGAACCAGGAGATTCCTCTAGGCCTTTAAGTTTGTGACAATTCCATGAGCTCTAATAAAAGGCATTATTCCCAGGAGTTAAAAGGTGGGGCAGTTGTGTTCATTCGTGCCAGTCCTTACACTGGGTACTCATCCCTGAGACACCTGTGGCAGTACACACAAAAGCCCATGGAGATGCTCACTCAGCCCACACCTCCTCATTTAGTTCCATCTTCATAGGAGTTCTAGTCTTGTTTCACTTTCCAATGTGAAACAAGGTCAAGCTGCCACCCTAAAGGACCCAGTGTAAAAGAGGGAGAGGTCAGAGGATAGAAGCCTGGGGCACGGGGACTCTAGGGATTGGAACAGTTTGAGTGTGTGATGGGATGTTCAGAATGTCACCATTTAAGACAATATCTGAATTTCTTCCTCGTTCTTTTCTTCTACAGGATAAGGAAGCTGGACTGAGCCTAAGAGGATTTGCTGTGGTTTCTCTTCCCACTGTGACCTCAAGATCTTGTGCCTTCTCTTTGTATATGTGACATGATGGTGACTATGTGACTGTTTCCTTTGAACAAAATGTAACCAGATGACGAGTTCAGCCAAGTCTTGAGCAACAACAAGCCCATGCCCCCCCCCGACTGTTTGTACTCCCCAGTCATGACTGGACCTCAAACAGGGGCAGACTGGGAAACCCCAATTGCTTATTGTGCTTTAGTTTCAACCAGCTACAACTTCATGCTTCTGTCATTATTGTTGTTGTTGTTGTTGTTATTATCCAATACAAGCTTTCCCTGTGTACCCTGGTTCTCCTGGAACTTGCTCTGTAGACTAGGCTGGCCTCGAACTCTCAGAGATCTGCCTGCCTCTGACAATGGCATGCTGGGATGAAAGGTGTGACCCACCACTGCCAGTTGCTCCTGTCTTTATTAAGCATTTTTTCTGGTTGTGCAACTTCTTGCACAGTGGATGATTGACTAGTGTCCTAAAGATGAGTCAAAGGTGATGGAGAAAATAAAGTATCGGATTCTTATAGAAATCGTGTGTGCTGTGCTAACTCCTTTGCCTTAGTAACAGTTGAATGCTGTGTGCACTCAAGTGTGACCAGGGCCGTGCACAGGTGTTACTCAGACACCCTGGGCTCTCAGGTAATCTCTTCCCCTCTCACTTGGGTCATCTTTCCCACTGCCCCCCAATGATTCCTTCTGTTAAAACTATGGTGATATTCTGGAACTCTCTGTCTTAATCGGGGCTCTGGGAACTCCTTCTCACAAGGCAGGGATGCTTTATAGGCGGTTTCCTTGTTCTGGTCTTTATTTCCTACTTCATTTTGCTGATATTTTCACATATGTGTGGTCATCGCCCACCACTCCAGACAGCTGTTCCCGACAAAGGCCAGCGTGTTCCCTGTAGATTCTAGTGGGCTGTGGCTGTCTGTCCTTTTGTCCTCCGTCCTCAGGAAGTGGGCAGCCCAGACTCCTCTGTTTTTGTTCTTTGTATCTACAGGGAGTGAGACTTTTTTTTTTTTTCACAACTGAGTCTGAGTCTGCTGTCATTCTTTCCAGGGCCACCTCACTTTCTGACAGCAACAGGGGGTTGTCTTTCATTGTCCTTTAAGTCCCATGGACACTTGACTTCAGGAATCTCCATGTTGTTGTCATCAGACTTTTTAGTGTAAAAGCCTGGTTTCTGAGAGCTGTAATGAACTAGGATTGGCCAACACAATAGGACAATTACTGACACAAGTGCAGTGAGAACACAGAGAAAGGATGTGTTGTGAGCTTGTAAGTTAAAATATCTTTATTCAAATAATACTGGCCAAGCACAAGCCAGAGCATGCCAAGAGGCAGCAAGCTAGGGAGGCCAGAGAGAGAGCTCCCACGTTTCTGCTGCACCTTAAGAACCCCCCACCCCATGCATCATCCTTAACATCCTGACAGGCATGGTTAAGCACACCTGTAGCCAGCCCTTAGGGGGCGTGGTTACAGAGTCTCCCTACAAAAGGACATTTACTAAGTATGGACACAGCGGGGAGAGGAGCTAACAGACCTAGTGACTCACTCCCAGTCTCCATCTCTTGGTCCTGGCATGAGGTTCATGCTTGCTTACAGGGAAAGAGGACACCCCCACCCTTTTTCTGCTCTTCAATTTTCCTCTTTTACATTACTCATAAACCAGAGATTTCTGGGCATCACTCACCTCTTCTGAAAGCAGTTACCTAATGTCCCCAGTTTATCCCCTGGGGATTATTTCAGACTGTGCCTGTGTGCCCTCATCTACCATGGGTTTCTTATCCTTGAACTCGTGATTTTCCCACCCTTAATTCAGAGTGCTGGCATCACAGGTGTGTGTCTTGATTTACAAGTTTCTGAGAAGTTGTAAACTATGACTACTTACCCATTTCTGTAAGAAACGGCAGGAATTTAGCAAGTGCCATGTATACATAGGAAGTATGTAGTTACTATGTGAATTTTTATTGTAGTCATTGTTGTATTAAGACAGGATTTCATGCAGTTTAGAGTGGTCTAGATCTCCTGATATTTATGCCTCTTCTTTTGAAGTGCTGGGATTAGAGACATGCAGCCACCATGTCCTGTCCCATTGTGAAAAGCTTGTAAATATACACTTAAAGAACAATTTTTAGTAAAATAAAGGGGGAGGGATATTAACCAGCTTCAAGAGCAGCAGTCGCCTGCATTTCATGAAATCCATTTCCATTTAAAAGAATCAATGGCAGAAAATTAGAATTGCTTACACTGGGAATGATATGTACAGTTGCTCATGATAATCTCCCAGGAATTCATGCACATCAGCGACTCTGGACCCCTGTCCACAGGGACTGAACGGCATGCCAGGAAATTGCACAAAAAGAAGTTCCTGTCCAAAATAGAGACCAAGCAGCCTCTGACGTGTCCAGCTGGTGGATCTCTTCCTCTCCACCCTGTGCTCATTTGGAATATACTTGATGAGTATGTTGTCTTCCTCTCCTCATAAACAATGTAAATCAATCCATAGCCACCGATACCCTCCCTTTGACTACAACAGTGAGAGGACATAAGCCCCCAAGAGAACAGTAGTATTTTTGGACATTTGAGTTCCTCACCATAAATTTAACCACTTCTTAAGGTTACAAAATTTTGAGACATTTGTGGTGATACTGACAATTGATCTTTGGTAGTCTTTACTTAACTGTGTGAATATTAGAGATATAAGGACTAGATCAAACCACACTCTCCATTAAAATTAACATTTGTATAAACACAGCACATGCTCAGTGTACAAGACTCTGCTATGGACATACGTGCAGCAGACGATGAAGAATTCATTGACATTTCAAGTCCACAATGTAAACAAACTTGAAGAAGCAGTGCCTGTGTCAATTTAGAGAAATATCAAATGTAAAAATCTACAAGGAGCACAGTGTGGTGGCCCTTGGCATTTATTAAGTTTTAATGACTTCCTGTGCATGGGTATTTTAACTGCACTTATGTCTATGCATCACGAGCACTCCAGTTGAGAGAATTAGGCCCCCGGGGACTGAAGTCACAGAGAGTTGTGACCAGTCATGTGGATACTAGGAATCCAGCACAAGTTCCCTGGAAGAGCAGCCAGTGCTCTTAGCTGCTAAGCTAACTCATCAGCCCATTTCCTATGCCCTTAATCTCAGCATTCAGGAGGCAGATGCAGGAGAGGTCTTTGAATTCCAGACTAGCCTGATCTACACAGCAACTTCAAGACCAGGGATAATTATATAGTAAGACCTTGTCTTCAAAAACTACAAAATTATCTGAAGATGTTAATAAACATATTCCTCCTGCAGCTGCTGAGATGAGTCAGCAATGAAAAGCACTTGCTGTTCTTGGAAAGGACCAGAGTTGAATTCCCAGTCCAGATATCAGGCCACACAAAACCTCCTGTAATTCCAGCTCTAATGGTCAGGGTGACCTCTTCTCATCTTCACAGACAACTCTGGTGAGTATAGGGATCACACACACACACACACACACACACACACACACACACAAACACACCAGCTTTGGAAAGTGTCTAGCCTCTATGGAGCCATCTGGACTGTAGATTCTAAGGAAACACTTGGAAGTGATGAGTTGCTGCAGCAGCCTGCAGCTGATTTGAAATCTGTTAGGACAAATAGACAAGGGAGAAAAGGTAAAGTTAAGGAGTTTAGGGGAAAATTTTATCTTGTGTGGACATTTGAAACTTCAGGTCCATAGCCCTGGTAGTTTGAGGAGGAGGAGAGTTCCAAGACCAGGTAAAGGGGGAGAGATTACAACCTCTAGAATAGGAAGTATGTGTTATGGTAGAGGCTTCACACCAGCCCCTGGCATCCATATACCCAGATGCTGTTATGTTCTGGTGGAAATTCCATCCCAAGCCCCCTCTCCTATCTCCTTCCAAACATTGCTTCATCTTAGAAGGCCTCCAAATGATTATCCCTCCCACAAGGTATTTAAACTGTCCCCCAGAAAATAGAGGTATGGTTTTCCAGTCTCTCTTTCCCATCTCCTGGGGAGGGGAGGGCAAGAAGCAACAGGGAACATTGTATACATCAAATGTAGGCTTTTTCTGTTTCAGTTTTTGGTCTGATTTGGACTGTTGCATCAGCAAGAGGCTTATGGGGTACAGAAAGTTTTCAGTAAGTGGGGAAACTTAGGCTGTTGGTTGAAGGGAGAGCTTGGCTGCTGTCTCTGATTCCCTGAAGGTACAAGAATTTCTTTTAAGTTTATAAACAGAGATGAAAGTTCTGGATATGTTAGCATAGGAATATTTAAAATGTGCACTGAAATCCACATTGTAGAAATGCAGGAGATTCAGGCCTGTGAGACATAGTTAAAGCCAGGGAAGCCAAAATGATTCTGAATTAAAAGCATTAACACCCTTACATTACACAGAGATATTTGACCGAGAAGCACTCATAAGCATTCTCTTAGAAAACAACCAAAAGAAATTTAAAATCTCCAATGTTAAAATGCTGAACTTTTGAAGTCTTAAGATTACAATAGCACACAGAGGTAAAGAAATCTGACATATTCCTAAGTTTTTACATGCTTTAAATCACTTTCTTATACCTTATGATTTGTATTTACATGCCTAAAACACATTCTCAGAACTTTATAACTTGCAGAAACTTTAAACTTTTTATTTCCATCCAACCATATACACAGATGGCTCGTTCATGAGAGCAGTCATTGCAAACCAAGTACCTCTAAATACATCAATAGCAAAAAGTTAACTGAAATCTGTTTTGTGAGTTTATCTCCTTCAGAGTCTGGCAGCAGGGTATACTGTCTTTCTTGGTTAGAGATCTATTAGCTTCCTAGTGAGGCCTGAGCCCTGCAGCCTGATTTTTACTTATGAAGAGGCACCTGTAGCCTTGTGGGAGGAGCTAGCATGCGAAGGATAAATTATAGCTGGAAGTATATTCCAAATGACCTGTTATCAATTAAATTACAGAGACTAACCCATTCATTACACAGGTTTGGCTCCCATGGTCTCAGTAGCTGTGTTGGGACAGTGGTTGGTCTGCAGCTGTCATATAGGACTGCATTTAATCTCCACTTGTCATAAACAACAGCAAAGGCCTTTTATCTGTGAGAGCCAGGTCTGAGAGATTTTTCCTGTAGAGAAAATTTGCAAAAGTGACCTTACTTTGACAAGGCAAAGTAGGGCAATTAACCCAGAAATGCCCAGTGTGGGCAGAGCCCTGGCAACAGGTGAAGCGGGGGTGAGTTTACCCCTGTGGTTAGTGTTATCACAAATCAGGTGGAGTCACTATGCCCCATCTATCTTTTTGGATACCTTAAGGGTTCTTGCCAGTAGGGGGCACTTCTGTCTGTTATGGGAAACTTTTTTGGTAAACATTTTAGATGCTGTATTCAGCAGATCTCTGAAGAGTTTGAGGACCATCTATATACTAAGTAGACCCAATTTAGGCTACACATTGAAAACACAAACAGTAGGTTAAATAAAACTTGTCAGTCAGTGAACAGTTTACAAGTTAGTAGCTTAGATAAGGTTAGGATTTTATTGCTTTATCCCTGTTAAGTTTGAAACTTAACATTTGAGTTGAATATATAATTGAAGAGCATTTAGTATCAAAATAAACCATAAATACAGTTTATCAAGAGCCTGGGAACTTTCCTGATCCTTTTGAACTATTGTTGTGATTTAAGAAGCAGCACTAGAGAGAAAGATGCAATGCAACAGAGCTTGGGTAGAAGGGTTTTATTGGGAGAAAGTGAATGGGAAAAGGGGGAGCAGAAAGAGGAGAAAACCCTCTGGGGACGGGAGTGGCATAAGAGAAGAGAAGAGGAGAGGAGAGAAGAGGACAGAGAGAGAGAGAGGAGAGAGAGACAGAGAGAGAGAGAGAGACAGAGACAGAGAGAGAGAGAGAGAGAGAGAGACGGAGGGAGTCGGGGAGGGAGGGAGGGAGGAAGGGAAGAAAGGAGGGAGGGAAGCAGGAAAGGAGGGAGGGAGAGATCTGTCACCTCAGAGAAATGGGGTGAAAGGGACCTTTGCACCAGGTTACTGCCAGTCAGGATTGCAGGGGTGAAGCACTTTGCCGAGTCCCCCAGGGGCAGGGCTAGGTTTGTCTAGAAAATAACATTCCTCCCTTCTTTATTTATTAAAAAAGTGAGCAGTTGGGCATGGCAGGTTAGGGGAATGAGGACATCGAGTTCTTGAGCCTGCTTCTTGATGACCTGGGAGGAGTTGAACATCTTTGGAGGATCCAAGAAAGCTGGAGCACTGGCCAAGTACGGGGGTATCTGGTTGTTTCAATGGTGTCCAGGCAGTGTGGAAAAATCTGGTGTCTCTTGAACCTGTCAAGATGCTGGCAGAGCAGAGGACAAGGTTGCATGTAAGGCAAAATTATTATTCTTTTTTTCGGTCCTGGTGATTGAAGGGGAGGGGAATCACAAATGAGGGAGAGGGGTCTGGGGACAAGGGAAAGGTGCAGAGACTTAGACTGTTGATTGACAGTACCTATGCAGACTGTATCTGTCCTGTTTGAGGTGATTACAAGGTGACTTCCTGAAAGTTACAAGAATGCTTTGAGTTTATAAAAAGATAAGCTTTAGATATGTGAGCAATTTTTTACTGTTTATAATTTGCATTGGAATTTACTTGTAAAAATGGCAGTATACTCATCCCAGAAATGATTTTGTTTGAAAGTATAACACTCTTCGTTCCATCTGGAAAACTGTGACCGACATCTTTAGCACAGTGAGATGCACCTTTGAAGTCTATAGATGGAAAACTACCAAAGGGAATTAAAAATCTTGAGCTTGCATTTATGATTGTATGGTGTTTTTAACTCTGTCAGAGTTGGATTAGTAGCTTATCAGAACTCCTTCCAGTACTGTTAAGACTACAAACTTTTGAGTCTTAATAAAACAGTAGCATTCTCTTTGTCAGCACTTAAGCCTTTCCATCTTCAGACCTTCATAACTTGCCTTTACACACATTAAGTCACTTTCTTAGACCCTCACATCTTAAGCTTTCATGGCCTCACATAAACTTTACAACACCTTCTATCTATTTCGCCAGTATAGATAAAAGTAGATGACCACTGAGAGCAGTCACTGTAAAGTAATTTTCTTTAAACAAAGGTATGGTCAGAAGTTATACTGAAATCTGTTTTGTGGGTTTATCCCTTTTGTGAATCTGGTAAAGAGGTAAACTTAGTGTTGGCTCTAGGAGAGTGAGGCCTGTGACTGAATTTTTGTCTAGAGAACTGAGAAGGCAACTGAAGCCTTGCCTGTTGCTTTCAGCTGGCAAAGCTACCAGTCGTCAAACTGCATCAGAGTTCTTGAGAAGGATAAAATTTTACCTGAATTAATGATTGTTAACAGAAACTTACTTGCTGGCCACCTGCATGATCACTCATCAGGGTCCTCCATGGTCACTGAGGGCTGAGGTTTCAGGGAAACATTCATCTTCTGCTGTTAGGTCTAGGTCTGCCAGGCTTCAGAAGATCGTGTGAATTAGGAGTTTGTAGGAAAACCAGCCTACCTTTGCCCTAAGCAACTGGAGGCTGTAAATTCCTCAGTGTCCTGTTGTCGTTGCAGCACTTGGGGTGAAAGTCAGGTTTGCTGAGTGGCTAGCACTGATAATTATGAATCAAGTTGTGGGTGAAGGTTCTGTGCCCACTCATCCTCTTAGGAGGAACTAGAGGTGCTGCCAGGAGCTGGCATGTCTCTAGGTTACAGAGAACTTTTAATAAAACATTTGAAATGCCATATTCTGCAGATCTCTGAGCATTTCAGGACTGTTTGAGTATTGGATATATCTGACTGTTCAAAATTGTCTTTAGGTACTTGTCTTAAGCACACAGGGACATAGGTAAGGCTTTCTCCCTGTAATTAATACTTACATCCATAGTTAGCATGGCTACAATGACCCTAATACAGAATCTTCCTGGAGAACTGGATCTAAACTGAGAGATTGTGGAGGGATGTTTTACTCAGAGCCCTACAGCTTGACTGTAACTGGTTGTAATTTAGCAGGTCAGATTTATGCTTGCTAAGGACAAAGAAGTAAAGAAAAATCCCTTTTGTAATAGAAGTTTAACACTGAAAACTGACAATAGCGAAGGTCAGACAGTATGGGAGAGAATAATCTTTTGAGTTTAGTTTCTGAATAGATCTTCATAACCTTAAATTTATAACACCATTTAAAAGTACACACAAATTTAAAATATTTGAGACTTACTGGTTTCAGTCTAGAAGGAGATATAATGAACAGAGATCTTTCTCTTTAACTGTAGCTGCATGGGCTTACATGTGCCATTAAGTTACATACATACAGACATACATACAGACATACATACACGGAGAGTTAATGCTAGCTTGCATTCATACATATGTAATTAAATCCAAATAGCATGCATACAGAGAGATATATTAAACAGGACGTGAATAAATAAAACAAATTTGGTCAGACAAATGTTTAGTCTTAAGTTTGCCCTTAGTAAAAATGGTGATCATCCTCATGGTAACCCTTAGTAAAGATGGCAGTGCAGTCATCTGACCTGTTTACATTTGCGCTTAGTAAAGAAGGCAGTGAAGTATCTCTTTTAACTCAAACACAATAGCAGCTTCCATGTGAGGCCCCTTAGTAGAGATGGTGGGGGTCACATGGTAGCAAGACACACATGCAGAGCACAGGCATTTAGAGTCACACTGGAGTAGTCACACCATACACAAATATTTTTTCATATGTATGAAACAGACAGGAAATAAAAAGCTCTTCCAAAGTGTCCCAAGCCAGATGCTGCTTATAAAAAGCCCAGTGAGATACAACCTGGGACCAAGATCCCCTTATTGCATTTTGAAGGGTTTCCAGTTTCATTGAAAGGGACTGGATGACCCAAAGTCCTAACTTATGCTTTAGTGATGACTAAGAACCCACTAGAGATTGCAGAAGTTTATCACCAGGTATTGCCCTATTTGCATATTTCACATAACTCTCCTTACATCAGGCTACTTTCTGTCTGAAATTCAAATACTTATTTGAGAGTTCGAAGAATGGAATTAGCATATACAGCTTTGTGCACCCCTTACAATAATAAGTTTTTGATTCATTCATCTATTTATTATATCTTAATGACTTCCTTTGGAGACAGGGTTTCAGTATGTAGCCCAGGTTGATCCTGAACATGGATATCTGTGGTAGGCATAGCTCCTCCTGCTGCTGTTATTGACATATTATAACCCCTAGTCTGTCAGTAATCAGGATTGGACTCTGCCAATTTGGTGAGAAAACCAGAGAGATCCATGTTTGGACAATAACAGAAACACTCCATACTTGTATCAGTGAATGTGGACAACAGAAGACATTGACACCAGACCCAACCACAGAATTGAGAACAAATGTAATTCCTGTTAAAACAGGAATCTAAACATCTCTTGATGAAACATCAGAAAGAGGACTTCACAGGCTGACTGTCAACATGACAGAAGAGCACAGACACTGGACAGACCCTACAAATGCCTGAGCTCAAAGGATTCCATGTCTTGGTAAACATATTCCTTGAAAGAATAGGGATTAAGAGGGAGAAGAAGTCGCTGGTGTAAAGAGAATATGTGAAAGTCAGAGTGAAAGGAGCAACAGTTGTGCACACACAGGCCTCAGTTGGCTACACACAGCCTTCTACTCTCACGAGAGCAAATGGAGTTAACATAGCAAAATGATTCTGAAATATCTCGGTCTTTATTTTTCCATCGAGGTTTACTCATTGATAGTACACTAATCAAATACCCACTCTGAAAGAAGTTGCATAACCATAACAATGCTTAATTTCAAGAACGATGCATTAAGTTGTAGCTCAGTTAAAAATAAATTTATGTCAGGGATGGATGTTTGCCTGACAAGTGTTTGTTGGAATAGTAATGGTGCCTGGGGAAAAATGATGATGGGTGTGTGGAAGGATCTTGTTGCTGCTCAGGTAAGAGCTGCACTCATCACCTGGTTACACTGTACTCACAGGAGACAGACACACAGTAACAGTAACAGTCAGATACAGGAATAGAAGTCATCAGTTCTTGAGGCCACAGTGGGAAAAGAGAAAACAGAATAAATCCTGTCTGTTAGGCTCAGTCCAGCTGTCTTATTCTGTAAAAGAAAAACACAAGGAAGAAATTCAGACCAGTGTCTTAAATGGTGACATTCTGGACAATCCATCACACACTCAAACTTTCCCAATCCCTAGAATCCCCATGCCCCAGGGTAATATCCTCTGCCTTCTTCCTGTCACCCACCAGGCAGTTTAGAGTGTCACTTTTGAAAAAAGTGACAGTTTCTGGATATCCTAGAAACTTGTCCTCCCAGTGGAATGTGATACAAGAGCAGATCAAAGCCATTGAAGATGGAACTAAATGAGGAGGTGTGGGCTGGCTGAGAATCTCCATGGGATCTGGTCTATATTGCCAACTTGTTTCAGGGATGAACACCCACTGTAAAAACTGGCAAGCCTATACATATCTGCCTCATTTTTTACACTGGGAAAATCCTTTTTTATTAGTGATCATGGAAGCATCAGGATCTAGAAAACCTGGAGGAATCTCCTGGTTCCTATCTCAGGGAAGTTTCCAGAACTGTGCCTGCAGATTCAGAGAAGGATGAGGAAACAAGATGGAAATTTGCACATGAAGAAGACTAAGTGGACTCCTGGATATCTGTTCTCAGTAGGAAACTTTCCATCTGACCACTGAGAGCTGAGGATCAGTCTCTACCACCTCTATCATTGCAGTGATGAATCTGTACATTATTTCCTTTATGCTTCACAATGGGGTTAATGTCAGCTCATCAGCACAACAGAAAAAGCCACTGTGTGGATGAATCTTTGCTCTCATGAGGCAGGGCACACTCTCAGCTGGGCTTGATATTCCCAAGGACATATGAACTCAGACCCTGACCTTTTCTTACCTTTACTCCTCCACTTCCATATCAGAAAAGTCACCACAGCTCCCATAAGCACAGCTCCAAGAACCAGGCCAGTCACAATTGGCATGATGGGGACAGAGGGCTGAGGAGGCTCTGAGGGAAGAATAAAAGAAAGAGTGAGGACTCTGACCTCCAGCTGTCAGTCATGACCCTGCTCCAGTTCTCCCAAGGACTCCCGCTCTCTGTGCTCACTCCTACTCCTTACCCCATCTCAGGGTGATGGACTCAGGCAGCCCCTCATGGTTCACATGACATGTGTATCTCTGCTCCTCCCCAGGAGGCACCACCACAGCTGCCCACTTCTGGAAGGTCCCATCCCCAGCAGGCCTGGTCTCTATCACCTCCATGTCCAGATTCTGGTTGCTCCCATCCTTCTGCCAGGTCAGGGTGATCTCAGCATGGTAGAAATCCTGGGCCCAGCACCTTAGAGTGATATTCCCATCAGCTCTGACCTTATGGGTCACATGTAATTTCGGGATGTCTGAGGAAATAAATTGAAACTTTCAGGTATTTTGCATTCTTTATGGAGATCAATCTATGTGCTTGTTTTCTATGAAAGGGACAGTTTTCTACAAGGAGAGATGTTGACCCCACACACCAGCCTAGTCTCAGGATAAGGATGGAGTAATCTGTTCCTTGGAAATCTTCAGAATCAGCATGAGCCACCAGAGAGCTGGAGACTCTGGATCTCCCTCTAGGAATATGGACTTCTGGGTCTCACTGGATGGGGACTGAGATTCAGGACTCAGAGCACAAATGTACATGGACAGTGAACAGGCCTCAACGAGGTCAGATTCAAAATGTAAATTGAAGGGAACTTCTGCTTAACTGACAGGCTGAAATCTCCAGAGAAGACTTATTATTCCTCTGGAGAGTTCCTCTCTCTTGTTGAATTAGGAAACCCATGACACCCTTCCCTTTTCATGCAAGACCAAGTTAGTATTCCAGCTTCTCCCTGTAGAGGAAGAATCCTCAGGGGACAGGGCCTCCAGTCTCAGTGCAGGTGTGGCAGTTTCTTTCCTTACCTTTTCTCAGCAAAATTTCCTTCCCGTAGTCCAGCTGAGCTAAGAGGGACTGCACACATTCACCTTCCAGTAAAGGCCTCAAATTTTTGGCATAACTTTTCTTCTCGAACTCTTGGCTCAGGACTTCAGCGGCCTTTCCGACTGCAGTCCAAGTGGTCAGGTCCTCATTTAGTGCAATGTAATCATGGCCATTGAAGATCATTTCATATTGTCCACGGATGTAGTTCACTCCAGGCAGCACATCACAGGACATTCGGAACTGCACTGTGTGATATCCTGTCCAAGAACCTACGTTCAGCCACTCTCACAGGGACAGGTTCTTTGGGGCCCCTCTGTGGCTCAGTCCCTCCCACTTGGCCTTTATAAATGGCCACATTTGAGCTTAAATTGTGCATAAAACCAGGACAATGTGCCCAGGTTTCTGTAGCCTAGTCTACATGGGTCTCATTTCATTGGGCAATCTAAAATGTGGGTAAATGGAGAAAAACTTTTAGGAGTGTGAAATTTTGGATTTCTGATTCGGGTTCACTCACCAGTTTCACTTTGATTGTAGATGTGAAGCACTTTCTTCAGAAGGCGCTTGTAGAAGTCTCTTAGATTCAGCATGCCCAGAGTCGATTGCTCCCAATACTCTGGCTGCTGCTGATCCAACCATGGTGCACAGTGCTCCAGCTTCGGAGTCTGTGTTATGGTGTTGAGTCTCTCAATATGAATGTCATCCAAGTAGGCAGAACCAATGAAGTGAGACGCCAGGGGGTCAGGCCAGGTGAGCAGGGTTTGCAAATAGGTCAGGGAGTGTGAGCCTAGGTACAGTGCACCTTTAGACCCAGACCTCCCACCTAGTGTCCTATGCTGCTCCCCACAGATCTCTCAGTAGGGCAAGAATCAGGGGACAGGGGACAAGACGTAAAATAAATAAGGTCCTAGAAGGATCTGGCTGAGCTAGGGGAGAGGCAGACTTTCCTGGGCTGCAGCCACAGGGATGGGGAGGATCCATTTCCTTCCCCGGTTAGGTCCTTCCCCCCCTGGCACCACACTCACCCTCTGGATGCCTGGACATGACGAGGTTGCCCAGGATCAGTAGAAGGAGAGCCTCCAGAACAAAGGACTTCATTTTGCTTGAAAAGTGGACACTGAGTCTCTTCCTGTCTGTGTTCAGTTTTTTAAAAATGAAATGGAGAAAGCTATTGGCTTTTCTAAGATTTCCCAGTGGTACAGATAGAGAGCATGGAAAAATGTACTCCTGGAAGAGAAACCTCAAGGGCCCTGCTTTCCCGGCTCAGACCCAGCTCTGGGACCTTGGATCCTAGCAGCAGTGTATGGGGACAAGTTGGTTACCCTGGTTGTTGTCCACCTCATCCTGGTCAAATTATCCTTTGTGTCCAGTCCATCAGCCATTGTGTCAGCAATTCTCACCCTGACATAGAAGATGTCTACAGAGTCGTAGAAACTGATTGACCCTCAAAGGCTCTTAAGCTTGTGTGGATTATGTCAATCCATGTTCACTACATTAGAAACTGAAAATTTTAAACATTTGCTTTATTGAAGTTTAATGTTAAAGTGCAAGCAAGCAGAATGTTTGCAAAAAGTAACAATTGTTTTCCAAAATACAATGAAACGGTGAAACTAATAGATGTTTACATGTCTGTCTGTTCTTATGTTCTTATCCAAATCTTTTTTTACTATATAACTTGTTTTCTGATTTTCCTTTTTAACATTTATTTGTATGTGCTGTGTAGGCAAAACATCTTCAGAAATTGTACAGGGAAATGAGTTTAAAGTTTATTTATTTTTCTTAATCAGTATATTTTTTTCATCTGTGTGTGAGTGTTGAAAGTAACAGATTCTGTCGAAGGCCGAAAGGCTGTTAGTAACTCTGGAGTAGGAAGAATGGGGGATTGTGAGCTCCCAGACTTCTGGGACTCCAAATCTGATTGTCTACACAGTTAAGGCATCTCTCCAAAAATGGGGGCTGGAGATGGAGTGTTTTTTGTTAACATTTCAAATCATTTTATTCTTCTCTTTTTCTTTAGTACTTTCTTTCTTTTTTGAGGTTCTCCTAATCCTAACCTTAACCCTGCACCCTGAATACTGAGAGAAATCCAGGGTCCACCATACCAGCCTCACTGAAGATTTTTATCTTGGATGCTTCACTAGGTTCATTCAGGTGTTACTTATAATCTGAAACTTAAAATATCATCATATCCTTCATAGTTTGCTACATCTAGGTCCACATGATAATCAAATTTATTAAGTACATTTTGTGTTATTAAATTCTAATTTCAAAATTAGAATATTATTGACCATGTTCATCAGTGTGCATATGTTTAAATGAATCTTTATCCTAAATGAAGGGTAGACATTGAGTGCAGAAGTTTACTTATTCAGTTTACAAGTCTGTTATGTAGGATGAGGCTGACTGTCTTCTCTAAGAATTCCCAGTAGGGATGAAAAAGACCTGAAGGGCCTTGGAAAGATTAACTACTGGGAGAGAAATCTCCACAGCCCTGCCTCAGCACTGCATATTCATCTCTGTGCCCTGTTATCCTGTGAGCAGTGTCTGGGGACAAATTGCTTACCTTGATTCCTGTAATTGTCTTCTTGACAACATCTTTCTGAGTCCTAGCCTAGATGCTGATCTGGCTGACAGGATCAAGGAAGGAGAGAAAAGCAAACACCCATGTCTCACTAAAGTATCTAGGTCTGGTTCCTGACTGGGGTTCCCATGGCCTCACTGTTATATCATGGTCCTTTCCTGGCCAGCTCAGTCCACCTGCAATGAGCCTTGGCTTCCTGGTGATCTTATCTCACAGGAGCCTGGGGGAGGCAAGGAAATTAGGATGGGAGTTGGCTGCTGTGTCAGTGGTCTTACAGTCCATGTCCCAAGAAAACACAGAGCAGAAGAGACAGGAGCTGAGGAGGATAATGTGCTTCTGACAGAACTGTGAGGATTCCCAGCTCAGACATCAGCCCAATATCTCCATATGACACTAGACTGATCCCTCCACAGACCCCAAAACCCAGGCACTGAGCATAATACTCTAGACACCCATGGAGGACCTTCCAAAAGACATCATATTGTCCAACTTGGGAGTGCACTGGCCATGATTTCATATCTCTGTGACTTAGGGTGCTGGTGTCTGCGCTGTCCCCTTTTTCTTGGCTCCTGTGCAGACATGGCCTCCCATTGCCACATCTGTGTCCACACACATATCATTATCAGTTCAGATCTTACCCTGGAGACTGACTTTGGGGATGTGGCATGGGGGACTTCCCATGTGTGTATACCTGTAGCTTGTTGTTGTGGGAGCTGGGAAGCAGCAGGCAAGCTGGATGAAGCTTGGACCGGACAGGATGTCTCACACACAGAGGAGAGAAGATTTCCACCAATCCACATGCAATCTTTCCTTCTCACAGCAAAACTTTTAGAAGGTCTGTTTTTCAGATTTACTCATCAGTAAGTATTTTAGAATCTGTCAAATGCCTGGCCTTGCTCCAGACTCTGGGATTCAGACCAAAAAAAGCAGGCAAAACCACTAGCCTAGGTATAGAAGAATGGTTTGGTTGCTCAAAGTGCTTACTGCTCTTGCAGTAGATCTGAGTTCATTTGAACACTCCTCAAAGGGCCACTCACAAACTGATGTTATTACGGCTGTCTGTTATTTAATTTCATCTTTTAGTTCCCACAGGTACCTCCAATTCCTTGCCATGAACTACACCCCCACAAATATATACGTAAGTCAAAACAAGTCATAAAAAATAGTTCCCTCTCTGAAAATAAAATTTTAGGGTAGCTGTAAAGTTGTCCTTTATGCCCTAAGTTAATTTGTGTTAGTCTGTTCCTCTATTGCTATGACAAATCTCCATGGACAAAAGCAACTTGAGGAAAGAGTTTGTTTCGTGTGACAAGTCCCAGGACGCATTCCATCACTGAGGAAGTCAGCGCAGGAAGTCAAGGCAGGGACCTGAAGCTGGAAAGTCCATGGAAGAATCCTGCCTTCGGCTTGGAATGAAAAACAGAAATAAAAATGGAAGGACTTGCCTACTCCCAGGTATGGAGAGGAGGGAGTTTATTATAGACATGAGGGAGAACATAGCTGCCAGAGGCAGGGAAATCCAGAGAGGTCATGAGCAGACTGAGCCAAGCTAAGAGGCCAGGCACATAAGGGGCAGATGAAAGAGATCAGGAAACCAAACAAGTCAGAGAACAGCACAGACACTGGACAAGAAGCCACAAATGCCTGAGATCTTCTGATTACGTGTTCTGGTGAACATGTTTATTAAAAGAACTGTGAGCAGGAGCTAGCAAGATGACAGAGGTGGGAGGGAAATGTGAAAGCCCAGGGTGAATGGAGTAACAGTTGTGCTTGCACAGGCCTCACTTGACTCTACACTGCCTTCAACTCTCATGACAGGCAATGAACATAGCACAATACACATGATCCAAAACGTTCTAAGACTTTATTTTCTCCAACTTTGACTCATATTTACTACACCAATCAAATACCCAATCTGAAAGAACTTGCAAAATCATAAAAATGCTTAATTTCAAGAAATATGCATTAAGTTGTAGCTCAGTGAAAACTAAAGCTCAGGCAGGGCTGGAGGTTTGCCAGCACAGCCTCTGTTGGAACAGCAATGGTGACTGGGGAAGGAATGATGATCAGGGGGAAGCAATGTGTGGATGGGACTTGTTGCTGCTCAGGGCAGGGCTGTACTCATCACCTGGTTACATTGTGCTAGCAGGAGAGAGACACATAGTAACAATTATATGCCGGAAGAGAAGTTAACAGTTCTTGAGACCACAGTGGGGGAAAAAGAAAACACAATAAATCATTTCTGTTAAACTTAGTCCAACTGTCTTATCCTGTACAAAATACAAAGAATAAATTCAGATCAGGGTCTTAAATGGTGACATTCTGAACAGCTCATCACACACTCAAACTGCCCCAATCCCTGTTCTATCCTCTGACCTCTCCCTCTCACACCAGGCTGTTTTTAAAATTGTAACAGAAGACAAGACGTCCTAGAAAATTTTCCTCCTGTTGGAATGCTAGCATTTCTCCCTTTTGTTTATTTTAAAAAGAGTCTTAGGGACAGCAAGTGGGGTGGGAAACGAGGCCACCAGGTTCTCAAATCTGCTTCCTGCTAACTTGGGAGCATCGCATTTTGGGGGATCCTGAGAGAGCTAGGGTGTTGGCTATACCCTGGGGTAGCTGGTTGTTTCACTAGTGTCCAGGCTCTGTGGAACCATTCAGTTCCATTTGGATCTGGCAAGATGCTGCCATAGAAGAATTAAAAGTTAAGTTTAGGGGGAAAATTCCTAGATTCTGGCAATTGAGGGAGTGGCTCCCAAGACAAGGAAACTTGAGATGACACTCATGTGGAGTGAATCTGACTTGCTCAGGTGGGTCCAAGTCAACTCCCTGGAGTTTACAAGAATTTTTAAGTTTACAAATTAGTTAAGTTTTAGATGCATTCAAAAACAACCAAAGGGAATTTAAAATGCCGAGCTTGTGGCTGTGACAATATAGTGGTGCAGTATAGTGGGTAGTACTGCTCCCACAAGCTAGATTAATAAGCTATGAGAATTCCATCCGTTAGCGTCTAAGTTATACCATAGTGAGAAAGAGAAATCAGGAACAGGTTCATCCTTTTACTTTCTTCTTACCACCAATTAAACTTTCCTACCTTCACATAAACAAACCTGTAGCACCTGTTCCTTCTCCATCATCACCTTAACACTCAGGAGACACAGGTGGTTGATTGCTGAGGGCAGTCAGTAATACAGATTTGCGTTGAAATCTCTTCTGTGAGTCTCTGTTTTGAGTTTGGGGGTGTGGCTATCTGGGATCTTGTTGTTTCTTACCACCTAGGCAACTTTGACAGTCTTTATGCCTCCTGCTCTGTGGCTAAAGACTGGTAGTCCTGTAACAACAGCTAATTAGTTTAACTAGAGATTGTGAATGGGTCATTGGAGATGCAAGGAAGGGCACTGATGGAGCAGGGTGTGTTTAGGAGAGACAGGAGAGTGGGGAGAGGGGTCAGGAAGGAAAGAGTCGAGAATTCCCAACATGGTGAAGTTGAGTACAGTTTTGGGGGTGAAGCCTCATT